GGTAGGAGAATCATCTGAGCCCAGTAACTTGAGGCTGCAGTGAGCCATGATCGCACCACTTCACTCAAGCCTGAGCAACAGACTGAGACTCCATCTCGAAAACCAAACCAAAACAAAACAAAGAAATAAAGGAACCTAGAGCAGCTAAAAGTTTTTGTTTGTACTAAAAGTCAAACAGCCTGGATTTAAATTTACCCTGTTTGAGCTGGGTGCAGTGGCTCACACTTATAATCCCAGCACTTTGAAAGGCCGAGGCAGACGGATCACTTGAGGCCAGAAGTTCAAGACCAGCCTGGCCAACATGGTGAAACTCCGTCTCTACTAAAAATATAAATATTAGCTGGGCATGGTGGTGTGCTTGCAATCCCAGCTACTCAGGAGACTGAGGTGTGAGAATCATTTGAACCCAGGAAGCAGAGGTTGCAGTGAGCCAAGATCACACCACTACACTCCAGCCTGGGCAACAAAGCAAGACTCTGTCTCAAAAAAAGAAATAAAAAATAAAAAATAAATCCCTGTTTGGCCATTTAATAATTACAAGACTGACCTTAGGCAAGTTACTAAATCTCTCCATATCTCAGTTTCCTCATATCTAAAATCAGGATAGGAATAAGAACCATAGGACTTTGGGACTATTAAGATAAGGCAGGTAAGACTTAATATGATGCCTGGCACATATGTAAGGCTACCATAAATGATAGCTAATACTACTTATATACTTTTTAATAATCACACTCTACCTGGAGTTTATGACATTTACTAGAATTAAAGCAGATACTATATGTTTCTACCAGGCTGCCTTCTTTAACAGCCATTCCCATTCCCTAGATCACCTACCACCTCTACTTAAGACCAATACAAAAGCCCATTCCCAAATATTTATTATTGGTTTTAAATTACAGTTGAAGATTAAAAGTTTAAATCTAAGGATATATTAAGTCTTTTTTTTTTTTTTTTTAGACAGAGTCGTGCTCTGTCGCCCAGGCTGGAATACAGTGGCGCTTCTTGGTTCACTACAACCTCTGCGTCCTGTGATTCTTTTGCGTCAGTCTCCTGAGTAGTTAGGTTTACAGGCATGTGCCACCATGCCCAGCTAATTTTTGTTTTATTAGTAAAGACAGGGTTTCAACATGTTGGCCCAAGCTGGCCTCGAACTCCAAACCTCAAATGATCCACCAGCCTCAGCCTCCCAAAGTGCTGGGATTACAGGCTTGAGCCACCATGCCCAGCCCCAAATAAGTCTTATTTCAAAACAGTAAAGAAAAGATTAATCTTGCTATTCCTTTTGGTTCCAAAGCATAATAAAGTAGAAATGTTATAAATTAATAAAGAAAGTCTCAGCTGAAAAGCTATCCTTACCTCTTCTACAATGTCTACTTGAGGATCTTCATTATCGCTACTGTTTGTGGCTGAATCCTCATTTGAAATACTGTCAGCTTCTTCTTCAAGTACCTTCAGATCTCCTGCATCAATAACCCCTAGAAATTCATTCTCATCTACATCTCTTGCACTTCCTATTTCTTCATTGGAAGATGTATCACCGGTTCCATCGACTTGAATTATTTCACCAGTATCATCATCAGTAACCCGAATGCTTAAATCTACCCGTGAATTAGAATCCTAAATAGAGAAAGAAATACACTAAAGTTCAAGTCAAATAAGGCATATAAAATATTGAATCCAAATTTAAAATTAACAGACATTCCACAAATGGTCACTTCAAGCAAATTTCTGCCTTATGACATTAAAATCTGAATAAGCCTAGCATTTCTATGTAATGTAGGAATAATTTTTTAAATTATAAAGTAACCACCCACTTACAATCATAGGGAGACAGCAAATCAGTTCATTACTTTCAGATAATATTTACCAGTTTTTATACATACCATCTAAATTTATATAGTACCTATTAGGATTTAACTATTTCATTTGACTTTAAACAATAATTCAATGAAATAGAAAAGACAAATGTCATTGTGCTTAATGGATAAATAAAAATGTAAAGGATTATACTAAGTGAAATAAGCCAAACACAGAAGGACAAACCTTAGATGATTCCACTTATATGAAGCACCTAGAATAGGCAAATTCACAGAAACAGAAAGTAAAATCGAGGTTACTAGGGGCTATGAAGAGGGGAATGAAAAGTTATTGTTTAATGAGTACAGAGTTTCTGTTTGAGAAGACGAAAAAGTACTGGAAATAGAGAGTGGTGATGGTTGTACAACACTGTGAATGAATTTAGTACCACTGAAATGTACACCTAAAAATGGGTATAATGGCAAATTTTTATGTTATAGATAATTCACTGCAACAAAAGTAAAAAATATATAAAGGAAATTTAGTAATCACCTCTGGTCACGTAGATGGCTATTATTTTATCATTACCTTCATCCAGCACAGTTAACAAATAAACCCCTCTGCTAAGTATTTTATAGGCATTTTCTTATTTATTTATTTATTTTTTGAGACAGACTCTCGCTCTGTCGCCCAGGCTGCAGTGCAATGGCACAATCTCGGCTCACTGCAAGCTCCGCCTCCCAGGTTCAGGAAATACTCCTGCCTCAGCCTCCTGAGTAGCTGGAACTACAGGCGTCCGCCACCACATCCGGCTAAGTTTTTGTATTTTTAGTGGAGATGGGGTTTCACCATGTTAGCCAGGATGGTCTCAATCTCCTGACCTCATGATCTGCCCACCTCGGCCTCCCAAAGTGCTGGGATTACAGGCATGAGCCACAGCACCTGGCCTGCACTCTTCACTCTTCAATGTAGGGTTCTATGTTGGTCATACCATACTACCCACCCCCCAATTAATTTGTCATAGATAGGACAAAGATCAATAAAATGTCAAGCTCCTTAAGATCAGGGGCTGTTTTATGATTATATATGCTACAGAATCTATAGCAGTAGTTCTTAACCACTTTGGAAAAGTCAGAGGCCCCTTGAAAACTTGATGAAAGCTCCAGATGCTATAATGCTGGTTGTTTTGGAAATCCATACATATGTTGACACACATATTGCATAAACAACAGGTTACATTAACTTTAAGACTGAAGTATAGAAGTGTAGCCCAAGTACATGGAAAAGATGACTTTCCATTCTTTACAATCAGAAATACAAAGGTCATACTAAGTGAAATAAGGCAAACACAGAAGGACAAATCTTATATGATTCCACTTATATGAAGTACCTAGAACAGGCAAATTCATAAAAACAGAAAGTAAAATCAAGGTTAACAGGGGCTATGAAGAGGGGAATGAAGAGTAATACAGCACCCAAAGAGCCTTCATCAAATCAGCCTGGAAAGTCTTGGGAATTTTTAAGAGTCAAGAAGGCTACTAACAGAACCCAAGAAGTTTTACTAAGATTTGAACAGATGCCCTCTATTTATATTTCTTCTGAGTTTGCAAGTCATAAGTGATGTTTAATACAATAATACTTAAGATACAACTTTAATAATCTCAATAACTTAAGATACAACTTTAATAATATGCATATACTCAACTTAGTTTTTGAGTGGACAACTGCCCTTCTAGGGTTCAAACCCATATGAATATTACCAATAATGAACTCTCAAAAAAGTATACCCAACAAATAATGCTGTGTAGAAAAATTCAAATTAATAGACCAAAATTATGTAAGTTTACATGTAATTAATTTTACTACATTGGAAACAGATTTCCTTCACAGATGAAATATAAGGAATATCACATGTATACAAAAATTAGTGACTATGTGCTCAAAAATGAAAATAAGTCCAAATTACATAAGTAAGATAAATTTGTACTCTGCTATGAATAAATTAGAGAAATCTTAGAGGGCCCACAGCCCATAATGTAAAAGCTGAAAAGAATGCTACTATCACACTAACAATGAACAAAAGCTGGATAAATTTACAAAATCACAACTTTTCTTGAAGCAGCCTGAAATCCAAGGAGGGACACCCCTTACAGATGGGACATACAAACATATCTCTCTATAAGAAGAGTAATGCCTATTTCCAACTATAAATACTATTTACCTCAATCTCTCCTTTATTTACATAAGATGTCTGACATTCAGTCAAAAATGAGGCCAGGCACAGACACTCATGCCTGTAATCCCAGCACTTTGGGACACCAAAGCTGGCAGATCGCTTGAGCCCAGAAGTTCAGGACTAGTCTGGGAAACATAGCAAGATCCTATCTCTACAAAAAATACACACACAAAAAAAAATTAGCTGGGAGTGGCGGTGCATGCTGAGGAGGTGGAGGCAGGAAGATCACCTGAGCCCGGGGAGGTTGAGGCTACAGTGAGCTGTGATTGCACCACTGCACTCCAGCCTAAGTGACAGAGTGAGACCCTTCTCAAAAATAATAATACAAACAAAAAGCAACAAAAACCAACCATCACACTGCAAAGCAATCAAGAGAACCAGACTCAGAGATAGTTAGAAATGTCAGACTATGATTGATACACCAAATAATTTAGTGAAAAAAGTGGAAAAAAATTCATGAACAAATAAATAATTTCAGCACAGATAACAAGTTTGGGGAGTTAGGAAAAGAAAGAAAAAAGAAAAACAAGAATTTTAACAAAAAATTCTAAAAATAAAAACCACAATATCAGAGTAAAAACTTCATCTGAAGGGGTCATCAGTAGATGTGACAGAGCAAAAAAAAATCAAAAACATTCAGGAAAACAGAAAAAGGGAAGAACACAGACACACAGACACACACACACACACACACACACACACCCTGACAAGTTGATTAACAACTATATTAAATATAAATGGCCTAAACATCTCATTTAAAAGATAGAGATTATCAGACTGGATTAAATTAGCAAGATCCAACCATATGCTGTCTATCTGGGAGGCTAAGGTGGGCAGATCACAAGGTCAGGAGTTCAAGAGCAGCCTGGTCAATATGGTGAAACCCCATCTCTATTAAAAATATTTTTTAAAAATTAGCTGGGCATGGTGGCACATGCCTATAATCCCAGCTATTCAGGAGGCTGAGGCAAGAAAATTGCTTGAATCCAGGAGGCGGAGCTTGCAGTGAGCCAAGATCGCGCCACTGCACTCCAGTCTAGGCGACAGAGCAAGACACTATCAAAAAAAAAAAAAGGGAAAGAAAGAAAGAAACTCACTTTAAATACAGTGACACAGGTAGGTTAAAAGTAAATGAACAGAAAAAACACATACCATGTGAACACTAATCAAAATAAACCTAAAACTGCTCTATTAATATCAGAAAATGTAAACTTCAGAACCAGAAATATTATCAGAGATAAATAAAAAACATTAAATAATAATAAAGGGATCAATTGAAGAAGATGACTATCCTAAATACTTATATACCTACAAACATAGCTTCAAAAACAAACTAAGAAGTAATAAAAGTAAAAGAAGAAATAGACAAATCTACTATTACAGGTAAAGGCTTAAAATTCCTCTCTCAGTAGTCAATAGAAAAAGTGGACTGAAATTCAGTGAAGATACGGAAACCCTAGACAATGCAATCAATCAACTTAACCTAATTAATATCTAGAGAATACCCCACCCAAAAATAGCCAAATAGCTTCAAGAGCACATATCATGTTTGCCAAGATAAACCATATTCTGAAACACAAAACAAACCCTGGCAAATTTAAAATATATAAAGTATATTCTCTGACCACAAAAGAATTACACTAGAAACCAATAACAGAAAGATATCTGAAAAATTTCCCAAATATTTAAAAAGTAAACAACACAATTCTAAATACCCAGTGGTCAAAGACTAAATCATAAAAGAAATTAGAAAATAATTGTAATTGAATGCAAATGAAAACATAATGTTCAAACTTTTGAGATATACCCAAAGCAGTGCCTAGGGGGAAATTTATATCATTAAATTATTATATCAGAAAATAAGTATGTCTCAAATCAATGGCCTAATATTCCACCTTAAGAAACTAGAAAAAGAAGGCCAAAATAAGCCCAAAGTAAACAGAAGGAAGGAAATAATAAAAATTTTAAAAGGGAAAAACAGTAAAATTACAAACCGAAAAAAAAAAAGAGAGAGAGAGAGAGAAATCAGTAAGGCCAAAAGTTCATTCTTTGAAATTATCAATAAAAGTGAAAAACCTGGCCAGGCAGGGTGGCTCACACCTGTAATCCCAGCACTTTAGCAGGCCAAGGCAGGCAGATCACTTGAGGCCAAGAGTTGGAGACCAGCCTGGCCAACATGGTGAAATCCAGTCTCTACTAAAAATACAAAAATCAGTCAGGTGTGGTGGCGTACACCTGTAATCCCAGCTAGTCGGGAGGCTGAGGCATGAGAATCACTTGAACCCAGGAGGTACAGATTGCAGTGAGCCAAGATCACACCACCTGAACTCCAGCCTGAGCAACAGAGCCAGACTGTCTCAAAAAAAAAAAAAAAACATTGAAAAACCAGTAGCATGACAGAGAGAGAAAGAGTGAGAGAGAGACAGACAGAAGACACAAGCAAACAGTATTAATAATTAAAGAAGGGATGTTACATAGATCCTAGAGGCATTAAAATAATATATTATCAACTTTCAATCAATTTTACAACTTAAGTAAAATGGATAAATTCATTGAAAGAAATTACCAAAATTTACTCAAGAAG